AGAACCTTTTGCCACAATTGCAGGATCGAAATCTTTTGGGCATATCCATGTGGTTTCTTTTGTTTCGATATTGTAATAATAGGGGCGCCCCTCACTTGTTTTATATTCACGCCACTGTTTCGCTGCGGCAATTTTTTTCTGAAATTAAAAAAAAAAACCATATAGAAAACAAAAAACAGAAAAATTCACCAAACAGAAAACAGGAAATACTCGTCGTAAAATTCACTTCTTCTGGAGTTTTCAGTTCATCCGGTTTCTGCCACGAAGATTGTTTCGTCACTTTGTTATAATAATAAACTCGTCCATCTGACGCCGTATGTTCCGACCAAATCTAAAACGCTTCAGAATGAATCTCAGCAGTGCAGTGGTTGGGAGTTACAGAAAAATGCGAATTCTAAACCAGCGGCGAACTCACCGGAAATCAGAAATCTCTTTGCGAAGCTCAACTTCGAGAAAACCACAGTGACGAAAAAATCAACCAGTTTACGAAGGCAGAGCAAATAAGTGGTAAATTTGGTGTTCTTATTTCACGGTATACGAATCTCCAAAAAGAAGACCATTCTAACGGTTACCGACTTATCAAGTGTTATGTACTAACTAGAGGTATGCACTTTGCATCGAAAGGACCGGCATTACTGCGTCCGAAATATTTAAATATGTCAGTAACATAAAAATTGGAATCGATATGCTGACTGTCCCGGCAGATTTGGTCTTGTCCTTGATATATTTCTACTTCCATGGTCCTTACAATTCTGAATAGATAAGAGCCACTAGATGAGCTAGATGAGAAGAGTCGTATGCTTAATCTGGTACTTCGGAAACACAGAAGTCCCGCAAGCTGATCATAGTCCAAACTCTATAAGTCATAATCTTTCGCATTTCGACACTGTCATCTATGATATAGCGACGTGCACCAGGGTAGCCGGTGTGATCATGCGTTTTGTACAATTCCGTCCACCAAATGATTGCCTTAATTTTCACTGCTTTGCACTTTGGTCTGCGCAGAAAATAGCTGAAATGTAGTCTGGTGCCTAAGCCGCTTGTAGCATCCTAAGTTACGGAATTCCACTAAAGATTTCATGCACCGATACGTGAAAGCTGAATTTGAAATTTTGAAAGGTTAATATCCTTCCACAATTTCAGTCTTCTAACTTTTTGGCTTTCGAAAGATTTTTGCGACGAAAATTTCACGTGATCGGCCGTGAGGCCTCGGCACGCTTAGCGACTGAATTCGAGTTTGTGAAGCCCTTGCTTAAGTACGAAAAATTCTCCTGAAATTTTCAACCTCCTAACTCTTCTGGCTCCCGAGATAATAATTTTTCTCGCCAAAACTTCTACGTATCATTGAAAATTTGTGGAGTTATATGTAGGCATGGGATGCCACGCTAAAATTCCAGCTCCTTAGCTCTTGCAGTTTACGTGACAATTCCCCTCTCCAAACTTTCGCGGAGCAGTAAATGGTACCTGCGGGCAAGGGAGGGCCGAATTTAAATTTGCGGGGTCACACGTGGGTGGGAAACGTTCCCCTAAATTTTCAGCTTTCTAGCTTTTGTGGTTCCCGAGTTGAAAGTTGCGGACAAGTT